CTAAATCGAGGTAAGGCTAGGCCTAGCAGCGTTGGATAGGCTAATGTTTTCAGCGCCTACGATATTTCTTCTCACGACCTATTGCAAAATCAAACAATGAAAAATTCATCCGCATTTATTTTTTGTGTGGAACACAAAAAAAAATCAAATTTCAGTCTTATTTTACATTTTTTTCATTCTTAGGAATGTCTAAATTCAGTTAAACTAGCAATTCCGTATTATATTTATAAATCTTTATAACATTATACAAAAATTAGATTTTTCTTAAAAAATGAAATTTTGCCGGGAATGGGGCTTTAAAATAGGCCAATGCATTACAGTGCAGCAGCATAGGACTTTCGTGTTGTTACTGTTCCAAGTAGCGATAATATACAGATTTCTCTTATTACAAAGTACAAGTTATGTTTTATAAAGAGGTATAGTATAGTAAATCATGTTTTTAACACAGGAAACTCTCATATGGTAACTAAAACAATGCTAGTTCAGAGTATTACTAGTACTACAGCACTGTAATGCATATACCTCTTTTAATACACTACTGAAATAGCCTTTTATTTTTCAATCTTGATTTCAAAGTTCAAAAAAATTTTTAATTTATTTTTTTTTGGATACGACGCCACGTTATGGAGTTATGATTTTTTAAATAACATGATGTCAGCAAAATCAGCCCAAAAGCTTATCTTATTTCTGTTGGTTACGCACCGCTGATTTGCAATGTTTGTCATCACTTCATGATGTCTACCGATTCGTGAAAAAGGCCTATTATGTTTGCCGTGGCTAATCTATACAGTACCATATTTCTACTTCGTTTTGCTAAAGGTACGGTAAATGGCATTACGTCACCATCACCCAATGAAATGCCAGAATGTGCGTGATGTCATACAGTATATTCATTTTTTATTGCAAGTGTTGTCATATAAACAGACTAGCAGTAGTGTGTGTATACATGTGCCTTGCTTGCTTTATTATTGAGTGGTACGCCTATTTTTCTATGACAGTATTAAGGTCTGCATCAAAATTATTGGACAAATTTGACTCAATTGTAATAATCACAAAGGGGAAACTTATTCTCTCGATCTAGGCCTAGATTCTGTACCATAACTGTGACGAAGTCTAGCCCTACGAAAAGTTTTGTGCATTCAAATTTTATGAATATTTTGGTGGGATTGTAAAGCGTGGTATTATTTCGAACTTCTTGGACTAAAACTTGGGATGTACTAGGGATTATGAAGTTCAGACGGTATGATGACGGAGGAACTAGTCTAAGTTTATGACTGATATAGGCCTAGGCCACTTAGATCAATGTCACCAGAGCAGCTGCCGTAAAAAGCAGAATCCAAGCAAGGCTGAGCAGGCTTGCTTAGATTTTTCGCCAAGTGAAGAATTTAAGCAAAGCCTAGAGGCATGCCAAGAGTTTGGTGGAATCAGTCCTTGTTTGATAATGGTTATACATAGGCCTAGCTAAATGAAACTCTTTACTAAATGGAACCATAAGCCTATTTATCGATAACAGGTCAAACAATATTGTACTTTTTGATGTTTTAATTTCCCAGAACTGTACATCGTTCTCGTTTCACCGCTCATCGCGGTTGATCTGCAATGCAATGCCAGTCTTGAAAAATGACGTCACGCACATTCTGGCACTTCATTGGGAGATGGTGACGTAATGCCATTTACCGTACCTTTAGCAAATTGAAGTAGAAATATGGTACCGTATCTCTAGCCACGGCGAATTACGTTTCTGCAAAAGCACATACATATGCGAATCTTGAAACACCTTCCCTTTTCTGAATACAATTTTATTAGAATGAGGTACCTGATTATTTTATTATTTTGTGCACTGGTAGCAAATACTGTGCCACACCCCCCCCCCCCCCACCCCATGGGCGGTAGAGGACATTTCAAACTGTGTAGTTCCTATCAAAGAAAATCGAAATATGAGCAGTGTTACACAAAATTACAGTAATTAAGAAAATTTTAAAAAAAAATAAAATAACATGTAATTTTGTTCACAGAAATAGTTGTTGAAGATGGCTACTAGCGAATTGAATCAGTTTTTGGAAATTGTTGATGAGAAAGTCCTGGAGTGTACTATTTGCTTTAAGAGACTTCAAAATCCTAAATCTCTCAACTGCCTCCATAGTTTCTGCTTGACATGTCTGGAAGACTGGGTTAAAAGGAAGGGTACGCTGATTTGCCCAACCTGCTCAAAATCACATGTCACTCCAGAAGGCGGACTTCAGAAGCTACCACCAAATACATTTCTCAATAACTTAATTGAAACTATTGAACAAATATCTAAACGAGATCAGATGAAATGTGTTTGTGCTAAAGGGCAGGCAATATACTACTGCCAGGAATGTAGACATTACTTGTGCTCTACTTGTAGTGAATGTCATAAAATATTTCCTATATCAGCAAATCACAAGCTGCATACAGTGGAGGATGTGCGATCAATGACTCCTCAAGATTTTGCTTTGCTACATCCACTGCTGTGTTCACATCACAACAAACCTTTGGAGTTCTACTGCACAGATTGTAAAACTCCAATCTGTATAAATTGTACAGTTATGGATCACAGGGCATGGGAAGGGAAACACAAACCAATCAGTATTTCAGAAGAATTTCAGACATTTAAAGAAATGTCTACACAATTGAAGGAAGCTGCTTATCAATATAAGAACCAATTACAAGATGGGCTGAAAGCTGTTATGCATTATGCTACCAAATTAGAACAAAGTAAAGATACATGTTTAAGAGATATTGAGAAACATGTGCAGGAAATGGTCAAGAAAATGAAGGAGAGTGAAGACAAAATGAAAAATGAAGTCGAGACAATCTACAAAGAAAAAAAGAAATTAAATGATGTACACATTAGTGATTTGAAAGCAACAATATCTGATTTGAATACAAAGATGAGTTTTCTTAATCAGTTATTGAAGAGTGACAAAGCAACAGCACTGCAATCAAGTGAAACAGTAATTACAGCACTGAACGACAGAGTCAAAGAACTGCCAAAAACAAAGCCAAATGATAACAGACACATTAAATTCTTAATAAATGAACATCAAGTGTCTTCAATACAACAGTGCAATATTGGAAATGTTACACTTATAAGGTTAAAAGATTGTTTACAATTAAAAGGAATGGAATCTGTGACCCAAAGTCAAATAATTGTTGTCCAGATAATCAAAACAGATGAATGTGAAATACATGAAAATCAACTGAAGGCAACATGGACACAGCCTACAGGAGAAACCAACACTACTCAAGTTGATGTAGATGGTAATGGAGATTATTTTGTGACAGGAAAATGCACAAGTCCAGGTACCTGTAAACTAGATGTGAGTGCTGATGATGAACCAATCAAACAATCACCGATGATAATCAATGTAGAGAAGGAAGGAATAGTAAATACCATTCAAATAGATAAATGTTCTGTAGACGTAGTTAAGTGTGAAGGTGATTGCTTGTTTGTTTCTTGTGCTACAAATGAAATTCTCAAGTACAAGCAATCAGGAGAATATACAGGGAAAGTTACACTACCAGAATGTGTGAAGGTTCACAGAATGTACAAAATGAAGAACGGTGACATTGCATTCAATGATCGGGGTAATAATGAATGCATCAGAATATGTAATATGAATGGTCAGCTGATCAGATCAATTAGTAATTTCCAATTTCACCTAGGAAAAATATTTGGTATCCATGTGGATGAGGAATCAAATACTGTGTATGTAGGAAGTGAATCAAGTGTGCAGCTATTCAACATTGATAGTGGACAGAAGATCGGAAGCATAGGGACTCGCGGCAATCAAGGTGGTCGAGTCAATGGAGTTTCTGATGTTGCCCTTACTAACCAAAGAAATATATTTGTATTGGATTTTCACAACAACAGGTTACAACTATTTAACAATGAAGGACAGTTCATGAAAGTTCTTGTCAAAGAAGGTGATGAAGATGGAAAGGTGATGAAACCATGGGCAGTAGTAGTTGATGAGGATGACAACATCATTATATCAAGTAATCACAAAATACAGCTGTTCAGTAGTGATGGAAATTTCATCAAAAGAATTGATAAACCAGAAGATGGAATCAAAAAGCCTTTTGGATTGTCCATCATTTCATATTATCCACGTAGAGTTGCAGTAGTAAATAATGGTGACACAACAGTAAAAATATTTAATTATTAAGATATTGACGCCCTCAATTTTTGTTTTGTGGTCATGCAGTGAGGCAATCCCACCCCACTAAATTATGTAAAAAGTTTATTTTCATATCATGTCATTGTATTTTGAAGACGTTAAATGTAAAATTTAAAAAATACAATCATAATGTCATTGGTGCATTTTGCTTGAGTCTTTAAAGTCAGGCTCCGAAGGAAAAAAAATTTTTGATATGTTGTAGAACTGATTTTTCTAAGACAGAAAAAAGTTGTTTGACGAAAAACTGGGGAACGGTGAATGTGATACAAATTTGTTATTCTAGGGTCATGGTGCTGTCATTTTCAATATAAAGGTAAATACGCCTACAGTATGTTTATAAATAGATTTTAAACATTCTATAAATAGATTTTGAATAAATTACAACATCATCTGCTAAGCCCCGCCCCCTGGATACTGTTGCTAAGGTCCCACAAAAGTCAGTGCAATGTAATCTGTTCCCTGTTCTGATTGGTCAGTTGTTAAGTTTGACTGACACTGCTGAATGATCCACACTGTCTTCAGTTCAATTCAATTCAATTCAAATAAATTTACTTCTGAAAAACAACAAAGTACTTACAAAAGAATAATTACAGATTATTTCTGAGGAAAGGGGACCTACACGGGAAAAAAAAAAGAAAAAAAATTGATCGCCTAAAATGCCTCAGAGGCTATTTTCGGGGATCTACAACATAAAATTTTCGCTGGGACATGGGGTAGTGTTTTCTCGATCGGTCCCACTTTCGTCCCCCACCATCTTTGGATCCACCCCTAAAAGCTTTAATTTGGGGCACAAACTAAAAAATACTGTATGGTAGAAGTAAAACAGAAAGCATGGTCTTATGATGTGGTAATTGGAAAATTTAATATTGTTTTTTCTAATTATATATTATTGACAATATAAACATAAAAATCAATTTACAGGTGAGACAAGGTATAAACGTAATCGATATTCAAAACTTTTCATACTTGAAAGGTTCTTTAGATATTTTGGTATGGAATTCCAAATTGTTGGGCCTTGAAAAGTTATATCATGGCAACCAACTTCAGTAGTTGAACATTCGTAGACATTAGTTCTATTTCTAAGACTACTATTTAATACAAGTATTGGTCTGAGAAAATTAGTATTAAGAATGGCATTACTGCAGTTCATATATGTGTATTTAATTGTGATAAACATTTTATTGGTTAAGAAAAAAATTGTTTAAATAATGCATGATAACTGGCTACTATTAATAACAACTATTTAATGTTATTGTTATTATTTAAAGGGATACAATACATGTATTTAGGGAGACTATTGGAGTGGAGTTGAATAGGGTATTCGGCGATGGGCGTCACATGACTTCTTGGGTGTTGGATATAAACAGTCGAATGTCACAGCGGTGTTTTACATGGAGCTTGCTATGGCGGTTGTCTCTTGTTTATTGCTGTAGAGATCATCATAATACCCAGTAAACAATACCAAATTGATTGAAAATTAAACTTAAGAATTTTGCCTTAATGGTTTGAAAACGCTGTGAAGAATGCTGGCTGCAAACATTGAGATTTTTCGACAAATGTTAGGCCTAGGCCCCTGCACATCTACCGCATGGTTAGGTGTGCATGATGGTCTTCAACCCGCAAACTACGCTGCAATGTTAGTGCCAGCTAAGGTTTTAGAAGGATCACTTATATTTCAAAGCATACAATCCAAGGAGAAGGCTAGGATAAGTAAATAAAACACTATTTTGAACAATCGTATTGCCTTTCCTAGCCATTTACTTCTCACATTAACAGCGGGTGGTTGTTTTTGCTACCTTAACATTATCTTTTCCTATGCTATCGCACTATTTTCATGCATACTCAAGTTAGGTCATGTGATCGCTTGTATCATTGCCTAATACCAGGGTCCTGGGTTCAATGCCTGTGACGGCCAACACGTTTTCACGATGACTAAAAATAAACTCCACTCCCTTAGCCTCAAAAGGCGACTTCACTGAAAAAAGCATCAAATTATTTTCATTTAATTAGAAGGGCATAAATTAAGCAGCCGACCTTCTAGGATTCGCTGAAAGTGTCGCCCTCTATAAATATGGTTTTAAAAAAAATGGGAAAAAAAACATAAAATTATCCTTCTAATTGTTAATTTATTATAAATGCATCGTTTAAATATTGCATTATTACTAGACACTATTAATTATAAGTATTTAATGTTATTGTTAATTTATAGGGACACATGTATTTTAGGGACACTGTTGGAAACATGTATTGTCCCAGTAATAAAATTTTTGTTATGTAGTCACACAACTTGAAAACACCGATTCATAAGAATGTGTAATAAAAGAAATAATAACTTTTAATACAAAAAAATGTAGTAAATGCGGTATAATATTGCTATATACATGATTTAATTAAGCATGCATAATTTTATGTTCTTATTAATAAAAACATTTTTGAAAGTCACAGTGGGTGTCCTGCAGTGCAGACGATGCGACACTTTAGGCAATAGATCGAGCCAAGCTTTCTAGAATTTAATTGTAACTATGGCACTCTTTACCTAACTACTATTAGAAAGCAGCTGTATAACTGGTTGTTACTGACACAGGGCCCAGTTTTTTCAAGTTCAAATAAATGTATCGTTTTCCATATAACATTTAAAGGCATAAAACAAAATTTCAAAAATTGTTCGGATTATTTCTTCTTTTAACAGAAAGTGTACTAAAATGTTTTAAATTCCTTTGTGTACTATTTTCTTCAATACTGAGATTAATCTGTATAAATTTACTAATAAATCCTATGTATTTTACTTTGTAGTCTTACCTTATATTATGATAGTTTAATGATTTTAATTTTTTAAACAATTGTTTATCCATGTAGTTGACTATGTTCAAATTATAATATCTTATTACTGTATCTGTATCACTTTCTTTGAATAGTTTGATAGGATTTTTGAGCTGGAGCAGAGGTTTTCAACTGGAGGCCTGCGGGCAATCTCCGGCCCGCGAGTTTGTGCTATGCGGCTTGAGCCTAGATTTCTAACCTTAATAATTTTGTATGCTGTTTGGCCGACTAGGCCTATATACTGCCCCACAAACTGTAGCGATTTAATCAATCAAATCGGAAGAACTAACCTATCACAGCAAACGGCAAAGAAATACTGTATCACCGATGACCCATTGTGTGATATATAACATTTTGCCCTTGCATTTATACCAAACACAAGGGTAACTTTCTAAGGTGAAAATGCACTGCATGAACGTCTAGCGGCTTATTCTTTAAAAAAAAATTTAATTCGGGAAAAGGGGCAGTGACACTTCAAATTTATTCAAGGAACAGTTTTGGCCCCTTTGCAATATAGTTGAGAACCCCTGAGCGAGAGTGTTCAACAATCTTAGCCAGCTTAGATTATTGTTAAAACTGTTGCTGTTAATTTGTTCGATATTTCTCTTGTTACTTCATTGCTGTTGTGGATGTATAGGTTTGGCTTTTTAAAGAATAAATAATAAACGAAAAATTGAATGACTTTTTTTTTCAATATACTGTATTATCCCATGAAGATTTTATATTTTATCTGAATTAGTTTTGTGAGAAAATGTAACCCATGACGAGTAAAACTGGTAAGCAACCAGTGACCAGAAACAAGAAAAAAACATATTGATTTGTTTTAAAAAGATGTGCAGCACTTTATAATCAGGGGCGGATCCAGTAAGGGGCACGAGAGGCATGTTCCCCCTCCCCCAGTTTTGCTACTAAATTTTAAAAATTTCAATACAAATGAATGTGTTACTCAATTCTATTCTAAAACTGTTAACCCCACCCCCCACCCCTTTGAAAAATTCTGGATCAGCCCCTTATAATTGATGTGTGGGGAGGCACAACCAAACAACACAAATATTGCAGTACAAATAATTATAAATTTTCCTTGTGCGTGATAATACCACGCGCATCGCTGAACTTTTCACAACAACAATTAGACTGACCAGTAATGCGCAAAATCTTTGTAACAACAGGGCAGTAAAACCCTTCGACTTGATCAAAGTTATTCTATTGCTAACAAGGCACATCTAAAATAATTTACATCAAGTAAGTAAATTAACTAATAGGAAGATAGTTTTAAGTGAAAAGTCTACATGCAGTGACAATAGCAACAAACTAAAAGCCTGTAAAAAAAATGTCTGTAAAAAATCATATCATTCGTCAATTCATTCTTCATTCATCAGATAATTGTTGTTTATGTTATTTAAGAATTAACCCTTTAACTTAGATATATTGTGAAATATTAACTTAAAAAGTGAACTAATTTTGTTCCCTGTACCTGAGATGCCTAAATGTCAGTTTATGATATTTAAGTATTAACCCTTTAACTTAGATATATTGTCAATATTAACATAAAAAGTGGAATAATTATGTTTACTGTACCTGAGACAACTATATAGCGGGGAACAGGGGATGCACATGAAAGTGATCGTCTGCCATATGTATGGATTTTCCACTTGTGAGCATGATGTAGATGTTGTTTAGAAGATCTCAGTTTACGAAGTCGTTCAGAGTGGAATGAGTTTTAGTGATGTATTGAGGTGCAAGGCCATGCAGCGCTTTATATGTATTATTAAAAAGGATTTACATTGGATGCGAGATGATACAGGTAACCAATGCAGTTCTCTGAGATTTAGTGTGATGTGTTGTGAACTTGTTAAGATGTTCCATGACCTCTGTTACAGTGCCTCTTTTCACAACCTTTTAACACATCATCCACATATCTTCGCCAAATCCGTGGTTTGCATGCGATGGGATCTGCTGCAAGTGCTTTTTGTTCAAGGAATTCCCCATGGATGTTGGCTATGAATGTTGAAACTGGGCTGCCCATGTCCGTGACAAATCTTTGCTGGTAAATCCTCTAAAACTGATATATGTGGTAGTTAAAATAAATTCCAGTGGTACCATTATGTCGGAGACATTAACGAGGGTTCTGGCCTTAAAGAGTTGGATTTTGTAAAATGTTGTTTATTAAACCAAGGGTCTGGGGGATTGGAACATCAGTAAAAAGTGATGTCATATCATGCAAGATGAACATTTCGTCTTTCCAATCATCACTTCCGCCAATTTTTTGACAAACACCTACGAATTTGGTATGTGGTGTTCCGTTTTATCCAATAACGGTTACAAACTATCAGCCAATTCTTTGGATGTAACATCGTCATCTGACACACCGAATTGAGCAAGCTTCGGATGTGGAAGTGAAAACATCGCTAACAAGTTGGAATTATATTTTCACAAAGAAAGCTTTTAGATTATTATGTAATCGTAGTGTTTGTCAATAAAAATAGTAAAAAATTTATAAATAGTCTACCTTGCCTTTTCTTCTTCTCGAAATCCTAGAAATGAGTTCATGATTTTTTGCTGATGAGAGAGATATTAACAAATTATTAACCCCAAAAAAATAATGCATATTAATTTACAAAATCAGGGATGATTATTACACTAGTACATTCAATCTAACTCAATAAAATTTCTTTTAATGCTATTTATGCCTTCGTGGGCCAATAAAATTCATGCTGAACAATAGCATGTTCCACAAAAACAAAACAATATAAAATTATATTGTGTATCTGCAGGCTAATATATACTATAATAACTATGCATCACAGTGTACAGACATAATAAGGGCAGCTGTGTGGGACACCCCTTAAGGGGCAGTCCATAGATGAAAACGAGAAATTCTTCCCTCTCTGAGTCATAAGAGTTGCCAATTAGGAATTCTGCCTTGGGCAAGCACTACTAGAGCCTACTGCCACCAGGGTTACAGTTATTATTTGTATTATTTTTTTTTATTCATAGTTCAGATTAGGCCTACTGACTGTTAATAACTCTTTCATATATCTGTTTGCGCAATGAGCATCTTTTATTGTATACTAGCACATTATAGATGTACACAATTATTATTGTTATCCCTCCCCTAATGCTTACGGTCATATCCCAAGAATAAATCAAGCACAGTGAAATGTGGAAATCAATATCTTGGCCTAATTCTAGGCCAACCTTTCCATCATCCTCCCCGTGCATTTTCGTGAATTAAGTGGTAACCATAGGGTTAAAATCTAGGTTAAGTTATCCATTTTATTACTCAATGCTTGAAAAGTAACCTTTTGAAATTATTATACTACTATATAGAATTTTATACACTTTTTATGTTAAAAAAAAATAAATTTTGGGTTTTAGTTCAGGCATTGGCTGGCATATATATGGCATATTCAAAAGAGAAAAAAAAACAAACCAGTTTCTCTGCAGCTGTGTTTTCAATGAACCTTGAACCATGACCTGTATTTCCAGTGCAAATGACCTTAAACCCTAAGAAGTAGTTAATAACAAATAAGAATGTTATCTGGCCTTACAATAATAGGGAAAATGTACAGATTTCAAAAAATTAATTTAGCATAATTTTAACATAAACATTTCTTGCAATATAACTGAAATTTGAAAAAAAAACCTAAGGTGAGAATTTTTTTAACCTTGTTTAGCAAACCCCCCACCTGCCAATAATGATGATTTTGAATAAAAATAAAATTGTATTTTTGGCCCACCTCTACAAAAAAAGGGTAACAAAATAAACAATAAAAGTTTTTTTTTTAATTTTTATTACACCCGCCGCTGCCTTGAAATCTCCAAAAATAAAATATATGTATATTTCTTTCTAATTGTATAAATTTCATGCATTTAACCATCCCATATACTGCACTGTTTATATTCACTAATAAAATTTTAATTTTCATTTTTCCACCGTCATGACGTTTTTGGCAAAAACTATTTGCTATTAAATAAGAAAATATTTTTTCCCGAAAATAGGTTTGCGAAATAAGGTATAAAAAAGCTGAATTGTGTATGGAAGTGGTCCATGACTATTTAGCCACTTTGATGATGTGGTTTAGTAGCTACATGTCCCCATCATTCTACGACAGGGGCTGAAATGAACCATATCATCAGGGTAACTCATTCTTCTGAAAGATGCAAAGCAGCAATGGATTCTTAAAATGCACACAAGACAGATGTGTTACAGTGGGCCTCTATTTTAAGCCCTTATCTGAGAGGACTTATATCAACCAAACCATGGGCAAGAACCAGCTCGAACCAGCTCGTACCAGTTCAAACCAGTGCCAGCAGTAGTCAGCAGCACCCTTGCCTTACCGCATGCCCACTCGAGTTGCCTAGACCTCTTGACTCACACCCTAAACAAATTAAAACAAACTTTACACATCTACTTACACCATGGACTTCGTTCTCCATAGAAAACCGTAAAAGCATCAGTAGGATTTGCTAGCCCTAATATAAAAACAAAGTTTTTGTTACTACAGTATGTCAATAAATTAAATATTTTAATTGATATTTAACACAGTTATTCCATAAAGAACTTTTCCACAAAGCCCCACACCGTGGTCCTACACAACAACACATGCATTTGTGGTACAAATTGCATTCAAGGAAAAATCAAATTTCAAGCGCCAAAAGTACAATTCAAGCATGTCTTATTAAGCTGTCAAATTTTTAGGAACTTTTTAGTGCGAACAGTGCTACCTTACGTGCAAGGTGTTGTATACTATTGCGTTTCCCCCCCCCCCCCAACCCCCCCCCCCAAAAAAAAAGACGAATAATTTTGTTAACCTTCATTTTTGGTGTATTACAGTGTTCAATTTTGGATGATGGGTAATAGCTTACCAGGGACAAAGGTCATATGAATGGTTCTAGGAAATCTTTTTCCAGTATTCTTGAGATTCCGGATGGCTTCTAGATACCTGGAAAGAAATATCCATCACATCTTAATGGAACGTATTTAAATGATACAGCTGATCATGTGACATATGTGACCAGCCAAACCAGTCACTCGTTTTTTTTTTTTTATTAATACAGGGTTAAACAGTAAAATGAGAGCTACATGGTAAAAGAATCATTTAAATTCAACATTTCCTAAGAAGTTACAAGCATTTATACATACAGCTCTTCAAAGAACAATATTTGAGATATCAGCCTTCAAAGTTTATGATTTCGGGCATTTCTCAGGCAGAAACCATCACCAAATCATTAAAAAGTGTTGTTTTAACTGTTTTAACATTGAAAATAGGGAAAATAACAGCATAGCACGATGTATAGATATATAAAGTTTAGTTTAGTGCAATAAAATAGATTTCTGCAATTTTGACATTCCAGCATATTTTGGTCATTATCCCTGAAACACGATTTGCGACGAGTGACTGGTTTGGCTTGTTTTAGCCACATATTGGGTACAACAATGGAGAACTTACAGTCCAATCAGTGTTCAAGTGTATGAAAATGTAATGCTATGGTCGCAAAAACGACCGTCTACTGTCAATATGAGAAATAAATGAAAAGGAAAGGCAATACGATTGTTTAAAATAGTGTTTATTTACGTACTCTAGCATTCTCTGTGCTTAGTAAGTTTTGGAATTTACGTGATCCTTCGTAAACCGTAGCTAGCCTAGAAATCGAAGACTCATGTATACCTAAACCGAGGGAGGGATTTAATTGTAAATCTTGGTGGGGTCACAAAAAAGGCCCAGTGTTGCATATTGGTCTTCACTAATAATGGTTATTACTTTTTAATAGTTAAACTAATTTTTTAATAATCATTTTTTTCTCTTAGGCCAGAATAAGTTACCAAATTTGGCCAGCGGGCCGCCTATTAAAAACCAGGGCATTAGAGTGATGAGAATTAAGTGACATAAAAAACAAAGAATTGTTGAAAACGAATAAACAATACTTACTGAATTGTTACAGACTTCATATCCTGCAAGAGAGAAGATACCATACAGTAATACGAACCATAGTTAAATACATATTAGAAATCTAAAGGGGCTAATGAGTAGTTCTAAGGCATATAGGCCGTTCCATGGCAAAAAACGTAACTTAAAATTTTCACTTTTGGAGAAATATAGAGTTAAAGTTTGCATGTTCGGAACTTTGCAATACATTGTCGTACCCTTTTGAAATGTGATTATATGTGAAATCTTAATTACAACTGTTTGTTTATTGCAAAGTTATTAGCGATAATTACAGATACGTTGTTTGCCTTGGAAACATGTCAGGCTCGGTATTGATGCAAGTACGACATATTTCGGAATTTATCACGTTTGGGGCAATGATATGCATTAGCTAGCTTGTTGATACGTCGCTGGTAAGATTATTGATATAAAAACACAAATATTCCATTTGATTTTGCCTTGCCAATCTCCATTAGCTTAAGACAATTTTTGAATACTATTCCGACATTATTTTGCCTCGGGACAGCCAATATTTAATGGTAATGGGAGGATAAACATTGAGCAACTTCACAGTTGGTCACATGAATGTTGAGAATAGTCAGTGTGTGGCTCTAACCCCCGACCATGAGGAGCAGAACCAAACCACCCCTCCCGCCCCCACCCCAAAAAAAAACTCCTAAGGGTGTACTACCTGTGTACCACGTCCATATATGTTTCCATTTTCCATCTTCTTACCCTCAAAAGCATCACAAATCCAACTTTCCTGCATATACAAACATTTATGAAATTATTATAAAATTATCATATATACAAACATATATAATTCAAATTTAACTTAAAACTTAAAATCAATAAAGATATAGCTTCCCTAATAAACCTGCTTCAAGTTTGCTTTTAAAAACATGTGCTTATTTAAAAACATTAAATAATAATAATAATAATAATAATTAATAATATAAATTCAGTTTTCAGTCAGCTTTAGTACAATAAACATTACTCAAAGGGCGAGACTTTTTTATACCTTGTTTCAGCAAACTCACCAACTGCAAAATTTTATTTTTGGCAAATTAGCACACCCGCCGCCACGAAAAATGGAAATTTCAGAAAAAAATTCAAGTTTATTTATTTAAATTTTTATTACACCCTCTGCTGCCTTGAAATCACCAAAGATAAGATATGTATATTTCTTCCTAATTATATAAATATTAAGCATTTAACCATCATGTTTTACATTCACCAATAAAATTTTATTTTTATATCTCCTCCGTCTGCATGTTTTTGGCAAAACTATTTGCTAAAATAAGAAAACTAAATTTTATTTTTATTCTGCCCTCCGATTATCTATAAAAAAAAATAAGTATGCGAAACAAAGAATAAAAAAATCTCGCCTAATCAGTAAAAAAAAAAAGCAATGTCTATTGCAAACATGGTAAAATCGTTACAGTAGAACTATGAAAAAATCAATCAATCAATAAATTAAGCAATCAATCAATCATTCAACCCATGGTGGTGACTAGGGGTAACCTCCCCCACCCCACAAATTAGTTCCAATGAGAGGGTTTAAATACTAAATATGACAATTAAGTTTTAACTGAAATGGGAATTTAGTTCTGCATTCTCAATTTTCACATCCCCTCCCCCAGGCTGTTTTGCAAACCTCCCCCACCCCCCACCACCAAGCCAGAACCAGCTTGCACCCCTCCAATCAACCAGCCAATCACCTATGACTCTATATAGGCTTACTTACTGGATACACTGGGACAACGTCAGTATGTGAATTTAAAACAATGCTTTTCAGTTTAGGATCTGTTCCTTCCCATGTGATAATAACAACTTCTTTCCCAGGATGAACCTACAAGATATAAAAACAAATTTCCTGATTAATACACCCTCTGGAAATACAGTGCACTAAATATGGCCAAAACATGACAGACTTGTAAAGAGGAATCACTATCTTATTTTGGTTTAATTGAAGAATAACTTGCAGCTTGCTCAATTGCTTTAGTCAGACTTTTCTCAAGTCGTAGTTAGGCCTAGTTTATGGACGTATGGAATTAGACAAAAATACTACGGAAATTTATCATAGGGTTAGACGCCATACAGTAAATGAATCGGTCTAATGAGTCCCGAACAAATGTCTTTTCCATTAAGATCTTTCGTTACATTGTCCCAGTCCCAGACAATTCATACAATGCATGGAGATTGCTAAAGTAATTATAAATCACTATTTAAAAAGAAACATAGGCCTACTGCCTTACTTTACTTTGGGTCGCTGTCTAAAAAACATAACAACTCTCTCAATATACTGTGTTCAATGAGCGCACTGTGGTTTACGATGTGTATATTTATATTTTGTACATGTCACATGACCAGTAATAGCTGGAGTCGCCGATTCGGTCTATCATAGGTGCTATGGACTTTTTTCATTTACTACAGAAATCTGAAGACATAGTTTGGCACATAGAGAAAATTATTAGATTATCACTTCTTTAAAAAAAAAAAAAAATTGATGAGAACGAGCGGTTTCATTTTCTTTTTTTTTTTAATCGGAACAATAGAATTGTTTTTTTTTATCGATGAGGGGAGGGACTGTTTAAATTTGGCAAGAATATTGTAAATATTGTATAAAAACTGGTTCAATTTTATTGTTTTTTAAAGAGAATGTATTTCTAGTAACAAACTTGCATTATTTTATTTATTCTGTTGAAACAAATGATGCGGCAAAAAAAAAAAAATTATTTTTAGTCCTGCATCAATATTTCCCAAATTTTTGACACGGACGGGAGTGATAATCTAACAATTTTTTCTATGTTCCCCTTTTAATACGAACTTGAGAAGGCTTAGTAGACAGTAAAATATTTTTAAAATACAGATCAGTACCTCAACCACTTTGCATGGCAATTTAATTTCTCCTGCCATCTGCTGCAAGAATCTGATTGCACCATCTGGAAAATAGATTACTGACATGAAATTTAAATGAAAAATAATAGAGTAAACATATTGCACTGAATTTTGTTATTGTGGAAGCAGCAGTAAATTATATTCTTTATGGCCATCCAAATTGAACACGACAATGCAACAGAATGAGGTGTTGCTCAACAAAAAATAATTTTCTATAATTTCCAAAAACTGTCACATGACAAAAATATTGTAACGAAAACTAGGGAATAGCCTTTCTGTACTTGTAAAAATTGGATTGGAGAGGTGAATTTAGGAAGTAGGCCTAGGTCCAATGCTTAGCCTAGGCTAGGCCTACTTCTCTATACCCTGTCCTTGGCCTAGCTATATAGTTAAGTTGTATGGGTATGGATAGGTAAAAAAAGGGATTAGGTAGACTTCGGCAGCCAACAACATCGGCCGCCACCGATCGAGTGCCAAAAATTATAAAGCGCCGATAATGCTGTCTTTTTGCTTGCTTTTTATAAGGTTTATGAGAATTTCTTCACAAATAATAAAGTATATTAATGTCATTTATGATTGTGATATTGATTTTAATAATCATTCATTAGGGAGCGTCGCCAAATTATCCTACCGCGGTAAGCCTTAATCTACCGCACCGCGGTAGACACAAGGCTGTATATGCAGAAAATTTGCATATCACATTGCATACAAGTCTACCGCGGTAGATAGAAACTGCCTTAGGGCCAACTGTAGAGTGTAACCTTAGAACCAAGGACATCAACCTATCAACCTAATTCTTTAGTAAACAGATTGTGATTAAATAATTACTGAAGTGTGCTCATGACATGATATCGACATATCAAAAGTTAACCTCTTGTTTACGACAACACACGCCCGCGATTTCCTTGTGCATGAACACAACGAAAAACGCTTGCGGAGCTTTGGAGAAGTGGCGATGTATTTGTACCCTACAATTTATTGGCTATCTAAAACTATATTCCGGTGAATAAATAAGACTTTTCTCGAGCACCAAAGAGAAGGGATCATTTCGGTCGCGCCTTCTGTTTGGTCGCGCCGTACTGTTCTGCATTTCGATCGCGATAAACTGCCTCTAAGTAATGCCGATATACGCACTAGTGCTTTATGTTTGGAAAGTAATTTTTAAAGGGTTGTGTATTTTTAAAGTTTGTTTGGTGTGTGTGTTTCGGACTGGGTATTAATTAATTTATTTTGTATTTTTGTTTTTACGATGCTTGACTATCATAGGCCCAATATTCTTTGTATTTTTTTTTAGTATGATTCAGTGTTTGAAGTTTTTTACAATTGTTATTAATTAAAGTAATTTGAATATAATTTACCGTGTTCTTTTTCTTACAGATTCAGAAGTAAAAAGTCAAGTACATATTTGTATTTATCAATTTCTGAATTATTTGTAATAAAGGCCGAGGAATGTTGTTACGATTATGATTTAATTTGTTTAATCAAATATACTTTTATGTCAGAATATTAAAATATATTATTTTTACATTCCATTTAAACTATAGTATTTTACAATTCATGTATTTTTTTTTTATAAATATAATCATCAGATTGATGACTCGAAGTTAATGGTGACATGAAGTAGGTGAACGCACTTGAACACCTTCACAGCGTCTGACCTACTTCTGTCTTTGCAGACATTCCAGAAGGCGGCGTACAAAGAATATGCCTTCTCACCCTCATGAGCATCTTGGGAACCTTGGTTGTGGGAAAGTTTCTTTCCGATTTTATGGTTAGTTACTAGGCAACTAATACAGGAGGCCTCGAAGTACTGTAGTGAATTTTTCTAGAAACTTTATAAGGAAGCCCGCCCGAAGACCACTGTTTAATGGCTATTAGCATGTATTTAAAATTATATATTAAAACTGCATTTTACTGTGTATTTATAAACAACATTTTTATGAATAAAAATGGACATAAAACAAGCAAGAAAATACAAACCTTGTGCTGCTTCACCTCAAAGAGTACCATGGGAATCTAGTTTGTGGGAAATTAAATTATAGCGCAACAACAGAATAGGACTAGAAAGGGTCATTTTGTCGGGCTTATGAATATAAAAGAAGCCTGAAATGGGTCATTAAAATGTACGGTGTTTAATTATAAATTTATTGACAATTTTATGTGCAGTATCGGCAGCCCATATTCGATCTACATAATTATATTTTTCGACATCTTTCACAGTCACTATGAGGCCTATCTTTGGTGTACTTTTTCGGAGATTTTAAAGAGGTTTCCCGGTATCAACATTCCATTGAACGATCTAGATACCAAATTAAACACATGTGCTAACCACTTAAAAGTACTAAAAGTGGTACGCATTATAGTGTGCTACCTAAATCGCGTGTTACCCATTTGAAACAATGTGCTACCCATTTGAAAGTGTGCAGCCCAT